GCGTCCAGCATCTATGCACGGGAGTGACAGCCGTCGCTGCTGTAAAAGTTAAGAAACAGCTGGAGAATGGAGATCTAGATACGTGCATATATCGACTGCCCGTGGCACGCGACAAACGAAGTAGTAAAAAAAAAAAAAAAAAAAGGAGCACCGGAAAATCGTATGCGGAAAGTATAATCTATAGGTTCAAGGTGGAGGAGGTGGACGAGGATGGAGGCGCGTGTATATATATACAGCTTTGTACGAGAGCGATGACGCGATCGCTGGGAAAAACTGGGACGGGCCATTTTATAGGGCCATCAAATTAAGCTCCCCCCCCCCCGCCTTCGCAGTCCTATCGCGCGACCCCCTCGGCGTGTTACCATAAAACGGCCAGCAAGCGGACTTCCGTGCAACGCGCGAGCCTCTCCATCCTCCGCGTTGTTCTCATCCTTCTTCTTCTATACCTCCTCCTCTTCTTATGCTCGAGTGTACAAGTGACGGCTAATGTGCTCCACTGGAAAAACTCGAGAAGCTCTCGTATATGCAAGCACATAGCATACAAGGTACAGGTAATAGGTCCAATATGCCGCGTCCGTTCGCCACCTGCGTGCGTCCCGTTGGTATACCGTTGCTGCAGTCGCGTAAATATACGTTGTACACCGTTTACATATACGCATACGGATGCTGGTGGCCAACTGTATCATCGTCACCTGGTCCCGTGACACCTTTTTCTTTTTTTTTTTTTTTTTTTTTTTGCCGTACACATAGGTGTAGTTTTGAAGGTTTCGACGATTGACGCCGACCGGTGCTGCCCCGCACCATAAACGCGCACCTCTCGTGCGCTTATGCTCGACTCATCCGTGGATATAATGGGCACGTAATAATATATACGAGGCAGATTTTACGATCAACACCAACCGTCGGGGTATACCTATAACGAGGGAGTAGGTTTGGTGTACAGGGAAATTAAGGGATGGAAAGATCAACTCGTGTATTTGGATATGCTTTATTGTCAACTATAAGTTCGACGAACCATGTTTATAAATCAACGGAAATTCGAGCATTTTCCAGTGTAATAATTCATCGCGTTAGTTTGGAAAGTTTCAATGGGCATTGACAAACGTGAAATAGGTACGTATGGAGAACACAGAGGCTACATGTATAAGCATATGCATGGAATGGGGCACGTGGAATGAACCGGCAATTAATACCCAGTCCACGCCGTGCTTTTCGTATCGACATCCCAACGGAGAAGAGAAGACCAACTTCCGTCACATGTATATATGTGTAGGGGAGACGATTGTAATCGAAGCTACGTACACGCGTGCGCCGTTGTTTCTGGAGAAGGAGCGTGGGAGGCAATTGACAGAGAGGCCGCGTCGTTAACATTAGTCGCGCGACGAGAATAAACGTCGGCCGTAATTCAATAATATAATTAAAGTCCCGCGCTGTGTGTGCCTGTATGGTCGGCCATCACTGGCGGTGTACGCAGTGCTTGTCACCTCGTTTGCCAAGTACAGTGACTCGAGTTGCTTTGTTTTTACTTTTCATTGTGTCCCACGCCGATGAGAGAAATGGTACGTGCGATATTCGAGTACCTTAAAGTGGTTGGTCCATCTTTTTCCGTCACGCAATAATAGACGAGCACTTATCTGTGAGTATAGGTATATATAATACATCCATTTTACTTGTACAAATCATTGAGCGATGATAAACTTAAGAAAACATCCAAGTGTTTCCCCACCGAGCTCTGCGCACCGAAGTAGGGCGGAAGGAAAAAAAAATGGCCCCGAGATCCAAAAAAATTTTACCGGTCCGTTGGTCGCGTTGACTCGGTAGAGAAAAAAAAAAAAAAAAAAAAAAAAAAAAAAAAAAAAAAAAAAAAAAAANTTTTTTTTTTTTTTTTTTTTTTTTTTTTTTTTTTTTTTTTTTTTTTTTTTTTTTTTTATACATAGGCATCTCTCGTAAATTTTCAGGGAATAAGAGTCGTCGAGTCGTCAGCTTATGGTGTATATTACACGCACTTTTCATTGATGCGTCGAACGAGCACTTCTTCTCTTTCTTCTTTTTTCTGAATTGTCCGACTGAAAAGAAATAAAATCGCATGTCACGATATGGTCAAACTTCCCATACCCAAAGGTGAAGAATCACATCTTTTTCTTCATCGTCGCATCCCTGCCCTTTCCGAATCTCCTTACTGCAGCCGTAAATTCACTAGTCCACCAGGTCAAATTCAATCAAATACTTTGCCAACACAGAAGAAAGAAATAGAGAAACGAAGGAAATAGTAGAAAAATCGATCGCGAACTATATGGCTGTGAAAAAAAAAAAGAGAAAATGGAATGAATTCATGCATAAAATGTTCTCCAACACAGTGGACACTCTTTATTTTTAAAATTTGAAAAACAATTTATTACACTTGATGATATTTTTCCACCTCAAGCACGCAACACGTCCCCGCGTGAAAACGAACAGGAAGTATCGGTCGGGGCGCTAGGAGCCCACAATGGCCGATAACTATTGTAGCTGAAGTGGGGGGAAAGGGGGATGCAAAAAAAAAATGAACTCGCCACACGACAGCATGTACACAGCTTCCAAAGAGCTTATCGGTGTATAGTACCCATTAACCGGCGCACTTTTCTTGGCTCGTCCACTTGCCATTGTGTATATACCTACATAAACCACACGCCTACACCCCCGTTTGTAAGAAAAAAAAAAAAAAAAAAAGAATGGAAATTTACCGCGTGCAGTGGGTATATAGGTGTACCTGCCGGCGGCTCTCTTTGCGATGTTATCTCTGCCGCGCGCGCACGAAGCCCCACTAACGAATGCTTAGGCGAGTGAGCGAGCCTCCGACGTGTATACGTACGGGTGAGGTACTTGGGTACGAAGTTGTTTTTTGTTCGCGTTTCGTGCATCGATCGCGACAATGTTGGCTGCGGAGATAAGCCGGTATCTCACGGAGCTAAATAAAATTTTGCTGCTCTCTGTTACGGAAAAAAAAAGAAAAAGAGGCGAGTTGTCGATGATTTTTTTTTGCGATATTGAAAAAGTAACACTATTAATCCAACAGAGTTTTGTAGAGCTAATCTGTCTGTGGAACCATTTTGGAAGAATTTCCAAACTCACGGATTTCGTACCTCATACGGCCTACCTTCTGTACTGTTGAAACCGGTTTCGCCTAACCGTCTAATTCCAAATTATCGGCTTTCGCGTAACACGGGAAAGGAACGAATTTTCTTCCCAATGCCCAATGATTGTCCACTAGTTTTATGAGCACTGGTACGTACAACAGAAAACGAGATGAGGATAGGAGGGTAAACTTGCACAGCCTTTATACCGCAACCAGAGCGGAGGAGTTGTATGTGCTATGCTCGTACCGCGATGGTTGATATTTGCAAGACGCGCGGCTCAATCGAAGCCAAGGGAGCAGGTTCCCAGAGCGCCGATTGGACCACCCACCCACCACATCGGCCGATAGTTTTTTTTTATTTTTCTTCTTTTTTTTTTTTAAATCATAGCGTACCCAGAGAAAAGCACCGATTGAGGAAATTATATCTATGGCGAATCGAGTTGGCTAATTGGCAGTAAACGCGTCCCGGAAAAGAGTAGACTGGGTTTTTGCGTGGTGCGTATATCAAGAGCTTCACTACTGAAATGTTTTTTTTTTTGTTTGTTTGTTTTTTTTTGTTTTTCGACGGGATGAGAAAAAAACAGAGAGTGACGGAAACCTTTTAAAATAGAAAACGTAGCTTTTTATCGAGCGGGACGAGGTTTTTTTTTACAATTTTGTTCAAAGACAGACATCCGAGAGAAAAAAAAAGACTCTTTATACACCAGAGGCATTCTCCGAATGCACCAAGTAATTTTAAAAAACCGACGATCCGCAACACTGTCTCGCCGATTCCCTCCCAAACCGAGACATCCTTTGTATGCCCCGCCGAGACATCTTTACAGCTGTTCCGCGAAAAAAAACCACACACACGACAATCACATGCAAAAACTCGTGTTTTTTGCCTTTCCATCGAGGAGTTCCCAGTAGCTCGGACGAGAGCCAAGAGCTGCTGGGGCACGACAACATTGGGACTCGTCCGACGGCAGCGCTCTCCCCTATATGTACAGCTCGCGAAAAATTTTTCGGCTGGTGGACGCACACATTACGCCTCACTCTCGTAAAAAATTCAACTTTAACGATCGCTTCACGGGTGAACGCGCTCTCCTTCCTTCACCTAGATACGTTCTCCTTCGCTTGGACCCAACGCGACAACCGAATCGAGGGAAATCACTGAAATACGCTACCAGAGCTCATTGGCACTACACTGATTGCGGTAAAGAAGACCGCCAGCCCTCTCCAACGGTCCAACGCGAAATGAAATGCAAGCGGAGTGTAAAATTTTCGGGCCCAACCGTAGCTCGTACAAGCCTTCCGGAAAAAGGGGAGCTGGGATGCAACTTTCTCTCCCGCGCGGCAGAAAAAAAAGAAAAAAGATTTTTGGGAGCCAGCTTACACTTCCCATCGAACCAAATCCGTCTAATTTGTGTGCGCTCGGGAAAACTTTCTAATCTTGTTTTTTTTTTTCCGGTCCATCCAAGGAGCCAGAGGGATGCTTTTCGAATGTCCTGGGATGAGGTCAAAAATTTTCTCGAGCTGTACGAGCCTTGCCACTACTATACCCAAGTATTATTCCGTGAGAGTAAAAACTGGTATGTAATTTCCACGCGTAAAATGACAAAGTATAGAGAACAATAATATTATACTGGTAAACAGAAGTAGGTAAAAAAAAAAAAAAAAAAAAAAAAAAAAAAAAAACAATTTTCCTCTCTTGGTTCCAATAATCTCTACTTTTTTTTTGTTTTCCTCATCAGCAGTAACGTGTCTAAGTGCCTTTTTTTGCTCTGAACTGCTTGCAGGCTGACGTTTATCACCCCGGATCTTTGGAAAAAAGGCCTCAAAGTGTTCGGCGCCGTGGAGAAGTCGTACTTCCCGTTCGAGCTGTGCAGGTGACCGCTCTCTCGTTCGTATGACACCTTCCCCCACGCCCTCCCGCCAGATGTACACGTAGCACGTATTCGTCGTCGTCCTTGTTACACATACATTTATCCGCTGTAAATGTGCCAAATTGTCACTATGGCTTGTTTATTGAGATCAATGCTGCTCGAGTAGCGTTAACCTACGGCTCTGTGATCTCTCGCGCAGCAAGGGACACGGACGGGCTTTGGATTTCATGAATTTCCACCACAGACAGATGCTGTACGTGTGACACTCATGATTAACTCATTCATTCATTTTCATATCATTTACATGCCTAAGTGTCTAATGGACGTTATGGTTTTTTTTTTTTTTTTTTTTTTTATTATTATTATTATTACCTTTTATTCAGATGTTCTTTTTTTACGCTTGATAAAATTGTCAAATTCATAATAGCGCTCGGGTGCGCGTCACTGCAGCTACCGTTAAAAATTTCAAGTTCAACCATACATATATATATGTACGCACTTGACTCTCTCGTAACGAGAGCTAAAATCATGGACCAAGAGCCATTAATCTTTCGTTGAGAGATACAAGTTGAACTGCATATATGATTTATACCTGTGCCTGTATACTCTCGAGCCGCCAACTCACCGTCCAACGTTCTCCTGGTGTATTTTCAGGTTCTCCCGCGTGTTCACGCCCGCAACCCTGGCTGGTTTACAAGGTGAGTCGCCCATACGCATACCTACTTTGTTGTTTTTTCACGTAAAGGTCAAGGCAGCGATCTCTTTGGTTTTTCCGTGACCCACAAATATGGGTACACTTACGTATAAAAAAAAAAAAAAAAAAAAAAAAAAAAAAAAAAAAAAAAAAAAAAAAAAAAAANAAAAAAAAAAAAAAAAAACCAAATCAGAGTGTCACTCAGTGTATACGTACTCGCACGACTGGTCCCCTGTTTTATGCATCCAAGGGAAGCCCATTGGAATTTAACAGCCCTCTTCCCCCCGTCCTAAATTACATTTTGTTACTCAGTTAAAATGAAGTTAATCAGTTTTTTTTTTTTTTTTTTTTTTGTCTTGTCAACTTTGTGGGACAATGTAATGGATAATCATCCAAGCACTAGAAAATTTAAGAAAGAGTCACCCCAAAGTTACACTCGCTGGGGGTAATTAATACGTGCTCCATTTTGAAAAAGAGGAGGATGCCTGTGGGTCTGTTGTAGGAACGTTTTATTTTATTGCTCGTAAAGCTTGCCGAGATTCGGACAGTGGTGTCCACAAAATGCACCCGTGGGCGTGGGTGATGGAACGTGCATATACAATATTGTAAACGCGCTCGTGTAAAGTGTCGACAGCTTCGGGGAATCTTTTTTTTTTTACGAAAAAGTTTTTTGCGAGAACCAGTGTCTCTAATCGATCTCTACTCTCGTGCAGTTGGTGCTATGTTTGACGGGGCTTAGCTGTGCACTGGATCGTGCAACGGATGCGTCGCTTCGCTCTGCCAAGTGGGGCGTTGGGAGCCAAAAGTTACTAAGTTTGCCATTCACTATATATATACTTGATACTTCCATCATGGGTCTCTCACTTCTGCTAAAAAGTTTTCTTTATTCGACACATCGGTTTATTCTAGATCTTTCCAACAAACTCCCGGCATCCCCCGCTTACCAATAATCTCACACTGCAACGGGGAAAAACAGTATCTTCCATTACCGCAACTCGAGCATCGCTTCTCCGAGCTATTATCCATAAATTAGTTCTGGCGCGCTGCAGGAAAATCCAACCGCAGGCCTGGAAATGGAAAGAAAAACCAGACGCCACAACGTGCTCAAATGAGCTCCGCCCTTTTTCGTGACTTTTACGCGCGTATCTGGCCACTCGACCCTCGAGGGAGTCCCATCGGATATTAGGGTCGATTCAAAGATAAAACCTTATCGAGGCGACTCGTGAAATCGACTCGGAGCCCCGGGAAATTCGTTTTTCCATTGCACGAACTCGCGGGATTTAAATTTTAAATGTCATCAGAAACTCTTTTTAGTTTCAAACGAGTGCGAGCCATCTTGACGAGGAACAAAACTGAAATCATCCTCTAAGCGTCCCCACCCGATACATGTCATGTGCCGAGTGAGAGACCCATTAACGTACACGAGCATCGATATTATCGCAATGTCTGATCACATATGTTACTGTTCTACTTGTTCACACGCGCTGGCAAGTAGTACGCGACTGTGACTACTTAACTTCCCTCGCAAAAAAAAAGACCTCGGTTGGATTAATTTTGTTTCTTTGCTACATCACACGGGCGATTCACGAATATTGTAAAAAAATCATCTCCCCGTGAACTTGAGAGAGAGAGAGAGAGAAAGAAATTAATCAACACGTCACGTCTCGATAGCGCGTATAAAAGCTGTGCGTGAGAAAAGGACGGGAAAAGGGAGGGTCCAAGGGGGGTCGGAGAGCGGATAAGCTCGACTAAAAGCTCAAAGAAAGAGAAAGAGTATAATACACACGGAGGCACGTATGCGCGCACGGCGGGAATAATAGTGGGTATATATACGCATAGCCGGGGGCAGCGCTCGAAAGCTTGCCGAGCGAGCCGACAGATAGCGCGAGCTTCGGCCGAAAGAAGCGGCGGCTCCTCGGGCGAGCCGCCAGACGAGAATCCACTGTCGGTCCGGACGCGCGTGTATAGCTGTGGCGCAGGAGTAGCAAGAAGAGCAGCTCCGAGCGACTGGCAGAGCTCGGTTGGCGCTCAGTTCGGCTTGGCGAGGCCAGCGAGACGCGTTTGCAGCACCACGGGGTTTCTCCCCCCCCCTTCCCCCCGCACATATAGACACCGCTGCCACCAAGCTCCTTCTCTCCTCTTTTTTTTTTCCTTCGCCTTCTTCTCTCTCGCTCCGTGTATCTGTCAGGCCGACTGGGACTTCACGTGCGGAGGAACCGTGCCCGCGTTGGCCAACTGCAGCTTTCCAATTTTTTTTTTTTTTTTTTTTTCCCCTCCGCTCCCTTAGGGGACTCGTAGAGTTTACCTGTGTGCTGGCTACGACCCCTTTTTTTTCGGTGGATGCTGCGATGATACCTGGAGGCTTTCTCCATGCGGGGGTGTTGCACCAAAGTTGAGTGAGCGAGAACAAAAAAAAAAAAATAAATAAAGTGAAAGCCAGTTTAAAGGCAGCGGTCGTTGTGCTGTGGGTCGAGCTTTTTTTTCCCTACTGTGGTGGAACCCAGTGCGTACGGTTGACCTGTGGTACGGTGTGACGTTTCTATAGGGGAAACGACAGCGGCGATGATCCCGCGTTTGCGGTCTTGCTGCCAGGACATTGGTTCATGACGTGTCAGTGCACCGAATGGGTATAATTTTTAAGCCCAAGCTTGTTTCATCGCGAGCGAACAGGACGGATATTGTAGTTTATACAATTATTGAGGAGGAAAAAAAATTTTTTTTTTTTTTTATTTTTTCTTTCAAAGTGGGGGACCCATACAAGAGTGACACTTTGGTGGGGATCGTCTGCCTACATGACAGTTGGTGATGCGACACAGGACACACGGCGAGATAGCTAAAGTGAGTCTTGTCTGTTTTGTTTTTTTTCATTTCTACGCTCCGGTACGCTTCATCAACCCACATCCAATCCATGGACCTGCTACACCGCACGACGGCGCATCTCAACCATTCCGACTGATGGATTTTGTCGACTGAAAAATAAAAATCGTCACGGTCTAATGCACGTGTCCTGTGCTTGTGTACATGTGTAAAACAACGGCGACTGCACATTGTCGTTCCTACATCATCACCACCCGAGTGGCGCCTCATCGGTAACAACATCGCGAACTGCGTAAACTCGGGCGCTCATCATCATCATCATCATCATCATCCTTGTCCCTATCACGGCTACTTCTGACTGCTCCCGCGCCTCCCCCACCACCACCCCCTACCCCTCGGTCTCGTGACTCTCCCCCCTCTCCCGCGGCGCACTCGCGCTCTTTCTTCGTCCTTCTGCCGTCACCGCTGTTGCTCCCTCTACCCGCTGGCCGCGCGCGCGCCTTCCCCGTTTCTACTTACCGATCTCGCCGACCGTCACTCGCACCACTACCACTCCACCGCCGTACACCTCTGGCCTGGGAAATGAGGTTTGCTTCCCGATAACAACAACAACAACAAAAAAATAAAAATAAAAAAAAACCACCCCCTTGATACGGTCACGCGCAACTCCGTGATCGCCGGCGATACCGAACCGTTTGGCGCGATCGCGATTTGCACCATCGCCGATCACGTGGCTTGCTCGACGGCCACGCTGTACGACAATGTGCACGCTGTGCCGCTATGCGGCACCGGCGTGGCTCACCCTGCCTCCGTCACGCCGATGGGGACAGTCACCGGAGCGGGGAATTCCACCGGGCTGACCTGGTGGAACATGATGAACGGCGTACCCTACGAGGACAGCCCGCCGCCCGTAGTGCCCCCAATATCCAGCGCCCACGCCTCGCTCCACCACCCCCACCACCAGCACCAAGCCCCGAGCACCGGCACCCACCACCAGCAACAGCAAGCATCGACGACGCCCACCTCCCCGGGAGCACCGAGCTCGGCGGCCACTTCGCAGCAACAACCGGCACCCACGGCGAGCGCGTCCTCGACGTCCCCGGGGGCATCGTCGGTTACGAGCAACGGGCCCCTCCACATACCCGCCAAGCGCCTCACCGCCACCCCGACCGTGGGCCAACAGCAGCAGCAGCAGCAGCAGCAGCAGCCGGTGACGGGGTCGAGTTACGCGGAGGTGGGCTGCGAGGTGAACGGGGGTGTGATCAGGCACTCGCACTCGCAGGGCTCGAGCCAGGGTTGGCCGAGCTACAGTCCGCACAGCCATCATCCGCAGGAGGGCCACTACGGGCAGGACTCGTTGGGCCACCACGGGGGCTACGGGGCGACGAGCGCGGGGCCCACGTACTACACAAACCTGGCGTCCGACCCGCAATCCGGGACCCCCGGTTCTAGGGACCAGCAACAGCAGCGCAAGGGCTCGACGCCGAGTTTCTGGTCGCCCGCGGCCTCGACGACGGGGGCCGCTCTAGTGGGGGACTACAAGCCGTACAACTCGGCGGCCGCGAGCATAGTCGCCACTACGGCTTCCTCGTCGACGGGTGGCTCGGCCGCGGGGGTGGCGGACCCCGCGGTCAGCTGCCACCAGAGCTTTTCCCAGAGCTGGTGCAACTATCCGCCCTACTCGGCGACGAGGCATCACCACGCGGTCGACAGCGCGGCGGCGGCGGCGGCGCATCATCACGCCCACTCGCAGGCCATGGTCGCCGAGGCCGCCTTTCCCCACGATGGATACGGTGGACTGAGGAATTATGGGGCCCCAGAGCCGGTCACCTCCAGCCCGTACCCACCTCCAGGTAAGCATCGACTCTGACACTTTTTTTTTTTTTTTTTTTCTTTCTTTTTGCAAATTTGTTCCCATCGTTATTGTGTATATACTCGAGCATTTGTATCAAACCAACAGCACTCAATTGCTTTCAATGACCAAACAAATTCAGTAAAAACCCAACGTGTACCCAGTCCCAATCGCGAGTCAAAAAAGTTGGCCAATCGAAATCGTCTATCGGGCCAATTTACGCTCGTTTAGGTCAGGGTCGCGCACACCTACACAGGATCGTATGGTAGTACAGCGGTAGCCCAAGGTATATGCAACGCACGTGACGTCCTCCGGGACCACATCCGCGAGCCGCACACATATACGACACCGGAGTCGTAAACCCCACCGTTTTCCGCGTCGTAAATTAACACTAAAATTTTACGCTGTCCACGGATTATACAACTCCTCGGGCGCCCCGTGCGTGTACACATATATACCTACTCCCTGCGATAACGCACGCGACTCTCTCTCTCTTTTTTTACATGTGCGAAAAAAAAAGAATCCGTCTTGTATACGAACTCCCATTGAAGTCCACACACTAGAATGGTGTTGAAAAAAAAAAGAAAGAGTGTCCATTTAATAGCCGTCAAATCGTTCGCACGTCGAATCGAGAGGGTGGGATGTGGGTGGGGGGGGGGGGGTGATAAAACGTTTTGTTTTGACTGGGAGGTATATCGATAAAACCGGAAGGACATGCACGAGAGATACAGAGCCACTTAACGGGTAGTACAGGGGAGGGGGGTCATTAAAAAATTTATTTGCCGCCCGTAATACGCGGCCTACACATAAACGTGCTGTAAAAGATGTATCCGTGTACAATTGTCGCACATACCAGAAGACATGGGTCATCTCTCGCCCGGATTTATGGCACTTCCACACTTTGGCACGGGGGAGGGAGAAGAAGGAGCCTCTCCCCCCTCTGTTCCCTTTTTGAGATTATTTTTCGCTCCACTTCCACGTTATCCTTTGCTTTTCATTTCGGGGCGTATACAGGGACAGGGGGACGAAAACGTCATCGGTCAAACAACAACAACAACAACAACAACAACGAGCAAGAACGCCGGCAGGGTTTATTGGCGCCCGTAACTCGTAAACTCCAGCGCGCGCCTTCGATCAGCTGATCTGCCCCACGAGGTTCTCCCTTGCCTGCTCCTTCCCCCTGTTTCCCTACACTCGACTCTCATCCCGATAACCTTCCAAACAGAGAATTTCATCGATCGATCGGGAAAAAAAAAAAAAAAAAAAAATTATAATAAAAGAACGGTAAGATTGAACACAGTCCATAAAAATTTTCCAAGCAAGAGTCAACCGTATGGGAAAGCAGACATATTATATACCTGAACATACAGCCATATTGGAGATTCGAGAGAGAGAGAGAGGCGCCCATACATGCCAGAGCAGCGTATAGGCACGTGTATATACACACATACTCGGGCGAGCAGCAGCGATTGGCCCGCCGGCATAGTCGGCAGGGGAGGGGAAAGCCGAGGAAACCCCTCTGATGTATACGTGTGTACAATACACATACAACATAATGCAAGGGAAAATTCGTGACGCCCCGGGACCCATGCACATGATGTGCACGGCACGCGCCTCGACTCCGTCCCCTTCCTGCCTGGTACACTCTACAGTCTCGCCCATCCGTATAATGTCTGCTTCTTTTTGGCTTGATTTTCCACTGCCGCGCACCTTCTCTTTCATTTAATCCCGGTGATTCATGTTTATTGTGTTTCCCATCGAGGACGAGCTGTTCGTTTTACGCTACGCGAGAGAGGGTTTAATTTCCCCCGCGTTTCTATGAGACGAAGCTGAGATTTCAGCTTTTCAGCCCTGGGATACGCAGGATCGTTGTTGAATTTCATTGGGAAGGGAGAGTACAATTGTGTATACTCTACGAGTGCGAGAGGAGCGGCAAAAAATGATGGTAGCGAAAAAAAGGGACGAAAGAGGGACACGGGCGGTAAGGGGTTGGTGTTTTTTTTTAATCAAAGCTCTCGAGAATTGAATTATACATGCAGATATTCTCGGGGCTCGGACGCCATGTACTCAGTCCCCGTGGCGAAAGGAAAAACACTTTTTCGACGGATGACAAAACTTTTTCTCGTTCGCCTCATCTCGTCCCATCAGCTACTATGCCACTTTCATCCCCTACTAACTTGTGTATTCTCGAATGGAGATGATAAACAATAGCAATTAGTATATATATATATACCTGCTTACCCACGGGATGCTCCGTAGACGCGCTCGTTCGTGCATACTGGCGGGGGTAGTTATTTATACATGGGGATGAACCGGGTGGGGGGGGGGGTCGTAAAGTATCGGTGATAAATCTGCGTCGCCTGTTGCATCGGTTGTATCCTATACCTGGTCAAACAACGGCGGGCGTGGCAAGTCTCTCTCTATCTCTCTCTTTGACGTGTTTGCGTAAAGTATCTGTAGGCGAGCGCGTGTCGGGCTTGGCTTTTCCGAAAATAACTGGTGCGCGCGCGTGCGGCGTGTCCGTGTGTACACAGCTTGGGGAGGAGAGAAAAATACAAAGGGCACCAGGGAGACTCGGAGCACGTTTGGTTTCGCAGCTGGCGCGTGTTGGTTACGGAGAAAGTAGGGGAACGATGGGGGTACGGGGGGAGGAGGAAATCGAGGATGATTTTCCGTACAAAAACCACCCCACCCTCCGCAAATGAGGGAGAAAAGCTTTCCCGTGTACTAATGGACAAAGAGGGTGCGGAGAGCCTGTATGGGCCGTCGTCCATTTTCGCGTTTATAATGTATGGCTGTTGGTGATGCTTCGGGGAGAGGATACAGGGATTAACACGATTGGGTGAGTGCGTTGTTGGGTGATGGCGGAAAATTACTCGATTTTTTTTTTTTTTTTTTTTTTTTTTTTTTTTTTTTTTTTTTTTTTTTT